GTGTGTGTGTGTGTGTGTGTGTGTGTGTGTGTGTGTGTGTGTGTGTGAGTGAGAGAGATGAAGTCATATCTAAACACATCAGTGGGAATTTCCACTCTTCTTCCTCTGTGATTATTTGGGGACAATCCTCGATTTCCAGCCTGAACAAACAGTTGCTTCTGTTAAAGGAACAGTCCGATATTAGCCTAGCTTAGCACAAAGACTGGAAGCAGGGAGAAAATGTTAGCGTTGCTCAGCACAAAGACTGAAAGCAGGGCCTAGCTTAGCACAAAGGCTGGAAGCAAGGGGGAACTGTGAGCCTTCCTTGGCACAAAGACTTGAAAAAGGGGGAAACAAATAACTAACCCCATAGCTAACGATAGCTACTGACAGCTACCGGCAACTACTGATAGCTACTGACAGCTACAGGCCGCTACAGACAGCCACATACACCCACTAACAGCTAATGACAGCTACTGACAGCTACAGATAGCCACAGACAGCCACTGACAGCTCCTGATAGCCAACGACAGCTAATGACAGCTCCTGATAGCTCCTGATAGCTACCGACAGCTACCTCAACACCAGCGGGGGAAAACCGGTTGTATTGCTACTTTAATATCTCGTTTTTGAGCGTTTAATGTGCGTTAAAGTCTTTATCTTCTGTACTGTGACAAACACAAGAGGGACCAAATCCCTCACATTCGATTGGACCGCTAGAAAGTGGGCGGGCTCAGAATGTAGCCCGGTGCGGATGTCAAGATATTATTGGTTGAAATTCATCTGTTGCTGACGTATAAGCACACTTTTCACAGGAAGTAAAGATTTGTTTTGATATAAACAAAGATTTATTATTATTTATTTTTCATATATTGTTAAATGTGAGTGCAGTTTGATCTAAAAGGACATTCTCATTTCATCTAGACCTTTAGTTTAAACTGACAGCCGGGTTCGAGTCCGGCCTCGGTCGTTTACCGATGACTCTAATGTCTAAGTTCTCTCAAGTCGTTTTCTTAGGTTGAGATGAAGTAAACTTTATGTGTAACCTAAACTAAAGTTAGAACGATAACAGAACTTAAACCGGGAAATAAGAAATCAAACAAAAGTTAAACTAAAGAAGCAACATTTTGGACTTTTCTTCTTCTTCACATTTGAGTAGAAAGTGATGAAGAGTGAGAATCTAATCAAGACAAACATTATAAACATTATAAATAACTCAAGTTTAGTTAAATAAAGTAAGTAAAGACGAAATAAACCTGAGATCTTACACGCAGTGCTTTTCCTCTGTTACACAATCTGACCAAACTGGAGCTGTTTGACTCTTTATTGTCTAATAAACACAATAAACAAATAACTATAATGACTAAAGTCGGTTTGATCTTCTGCAGCACATTTTTTATTAGTAATGCAGCTGTTTATAATCAGAATAAAACAGAAATAACCAACTTTAAAGTAACAAAACAAGTTAAATAAACTTTAAATCAACATTTTAACATCGAGATTAAAGTCAAATATACTTTTAATCTTTAGTTTATGGTCGTTTTTACTCTCTCTCTCTCTCTCTCTCTATATATATATATATATATATATATATATATATATATTCAGAATGATCTGATGCCTTGTTTCCGTTTGTCGTAATGAGAACATTCAGGTCTGTGTCTGCAGCTGCTCGTGTAGTCGATCAGTGATCGATCAGTGAGTGTTGAGCAGGTAAACAGCGTGTAAAGGTGAGTCTTACCTGCAGCAGCTCTGACCGTCTGTTTGCCCCAAAAACACTGAACTCTCAACAAGCGAGTGAAAGTCAAGTCAGCGCTCACACCTGAGGCCACTTCCTGTTGGGGATTTTCAAAATAAAGCTAGCTGGAGACGTAAACAAGATCTTTTTCTATTATTTCTTTGTCTGATATTTGTAGTTTTATTATTTACTGTTGCTAGTTTTGTTTGTTATTCTACTTTTGTAAAACTAATGCTGAAATGAAATAACTTCATGTAAATTAAAAGTATATTTAAGTCTATTTAATATAAATGTCCAAACTAAAGTAACACAGAGGTTTATTGAGCCATAGAAGTATTTAAGTAACTAATATTAATTCAATATTCAGTATTATTAGGTGTTTGCTATGTGTTTAGCTTGAACCGATTACAAATAAGAATTATTATTCGTTTAATCTTTACATTTATTTTTCATGTTTTTATATTTTCAATTGTTATTTTCTAAATTGTATCTATTTCCATATTTATTGTCTATTTTTTACCTTTTAAATATTGAACTTCTTACCTTCTGATAGCTGTAATAAATTAGTACATTTTATTTGGACAGTATGCAAAACAATTAAAGAAAACATAAATATAAGATATTGAAGTAAATATTATGTAAAATTATTATTTTATCTAATATTAACTTTTGATTTCTAAAGTCACCACTAGTTCAGTAAACAAGCGCTTTTAATTTGAAAGACAGCTCTCTCAACCGGAAGCAGCTCGGCGGTGTTGTCACGGCAACCGTCGGCCTGTCAGTCAGAGTGGAAAGCCCCGGAGCGCGAGGGGAATTCCGGCTCCGCGGAGTGAATACAGCGCGCTGCTTGGTTGGAAGCAGAAGCAGAAGCAGAGCCCCGCCCACCTTTAAGGACATTTATTATTTATTAAGAATATATTACTAAATTAAATGAGGCACATTAGAATATTATCAGCAACTGAAGATAAAATAAAATTTAAAATGTTTGTTATTAAGTTCAATCAAAGCAATTTAAATAATTTTAATAAATGTAGGAATATATGGAAGCTCAGTGACGCAAGAAAAGATTGTTTATTTTAAGGGACAAAATATCGTGTAGGGTAAAAATATAAATACTCATAACTAGTCAATATTATGTCAAAATGTATCGTCTCATCATTTTAAAACCTCAAATATTTTATATATATTTTTATTTATATATAGATTTGACAACATCCAAAATCATTACTTTGTATCTAAAAATTCAAACTAAGTGATAATCATGAGGCGGTGACGAACATTAAAGATTATTAATTAACATATTTAGAAAAAGATATTCACTTACTTTTACTTTAGTACAGTTCTTTAACTTCAACAGAAGAGGTTAAAGAAAACACCTTTAATCATTAATGAATAAAAACTCTTCAACATGTGACTGTTTGTACTTTATTTGAACAGAAAGGCCTGAAAACTCCCAGAAGCATTTATTAATCAGAGCTGACCAACACATCGAGGAAACAAACGGGAATCAAACCGCCGGTTTCCTCTGTGACGGTAAACAACACGAGGGTTCAACATCAGATGAAAATATTAAATATAAAGTATAAAGTAAAGCAGAAAAAACACCAATGATATACGTGTCATTTCAAAAATAGATTTATCTAATGTAACATTTTCTCACTTCACCAAGAAAAATAATCTATTTATGACCTAAAATGATTCATCTTGATAATTGATCTGAGATTAATTATTTTTCTTTGGATTCATTTGATTATAACTCTGCTACACATCTCTTTATTCCTTAAAGTTAAACATTAAGAGAAGATGAGAACTGAGTGCAGACTGAAGGATCAGAGTCATGTCATCAAAAGATCAAATAGGATTTGTATGATTTAGATTTTAAACCCACAGAAACATGAAATGACCCTTTAATAAAACTCCACAAGTCCTGAGACACAAACACAAAGAAGCAAACATGTAGAGTCACCGTGTGGACAAAAGAATGTGGACGCCTCTGATCGACAACCGGACGCTAACCGGACGACTGTTTTTCATGTTTAGAGGAAGATGTGAAAACGTCCCGTTTTTAAAACATAATTTATAAATAATAATAATTTATAAATAATAATTAGACAATAATCACATCTGAATCAACGACGACCTAAACAAGTATTTGATCATCTAAATACTTATATATTAACTTTCTGTCACTCGTCTCATTCAGGTTCTTTTTATTTATTTTTGTTTGAATAATGTCCTAAAATTATTCTATAACTCGTAAAATAAAATAATGAAATATGAATAAAGAACAATGTCTTCAGGTTTAAATCGATCAATAACGAGGGCGTCCACACACTTTGGTCCACTTAGTGTGTTACAGTCACTTTAAGGCTTTTATAGGTTTAGATATAGATATGTTTATATATAAAGCAGCACAATAAGAAAAACACTCATACAGCTATGAAACCAGAAGATTCTGTGGTTTGAACTTCTCATGAGGAGGAGGAGGGTAAACAGTCGTGACGAAGAAGGAATGAACACAACAAAACACAGAGATTCATTCAAAAAACTGTAAACGCTGGACTTTGTGTTGAAGAAATCCTCCAGAGGTGAGACAGACAGACAGACAGACACTATGTGAAGATGAGGCCGGCCTCGTTGTAAACCTGGAACACCTTCTCGATAGCGTTGACGTACGCCGCCGTCCTCAAGTCAAGACCGAGGTTGTACTTGTTGGCTGTTCTCATGATTTGCTGCATGAGGGAGGAGAGAGGAGACAAGGAGGGAGGAGAGGAAGGATGTAGAGGAGACAAGGAGATCAAAAATTGTTTCAGGTCTGACTTTTAAATAAAGTTAAAGATTCAGACGAGAAGTTTTTAATAACATGTAAAGAAGTGTGTATATGTGTGTGTGTGTGTGTGTGTTACCCTAGCAGAGCGCTCCATGGTGAAGGCTAGACCTGAGTGAACGATGTCCTTCTCAGACGCTCCCTGAAACCAAAACACATGTTTACAACACCACAGAAGAAGAAGACGTAGTAGTAGCAGTAGTGATAGTAGTAGTAGTGATAGCAGTAGTAGCAGCAGTAGTGATAGTAGTAGCGATAGTAGTAGCAGCAGCAGCGATAGTAGTAGTAGTGATAGTAGTAGTAGCAGCAGCAGTAGTAGGGATAGTAGTAGTAGCAGCAGCAGCAGTAGTGATAGTAGTAGTAGCAGCAGCAGCAGTGATAGTAGTAGTAGCAGCAGCAGTAGTAGTGATAGTAGTAGTAGCAGCAGCAGTAGTAGTGATAGTAGTAGTAGCAGCAGCAGCAGTAGTAGTGATAGTAGTAGTAGCAGCAGCAGCAGTAGTAGTGATAGTAGTAGTAGCAGCAGCAGCAGTAGTGATAGTAGTAGTAGCAGCAGCAGCAGTGATAGTAGTAGTAGCAGCAGCAGCAGTGATAGTAGTAGTAGCAGCAGGAGCAGTGATAGTAGTAGTAGCAGCAGCAGTAGTAGTGATAGTAGTAGTAGCAGCAGCAGTAGTAGTAATAGTAGCAGCAGCAGTAATAGTAGCAGCAGCAGTAGTGATAGTAGTAGTAGCAGCAGCAGTAGTGGTAGTAGTGATAGTAGTAGCAGCAGCAGCAGCAGCAGTGATAGTAGTAGTAGCAGCAGCAGCAGTAGTAGTGATAGTAGTAGTAGCAGCAGCGATGGTAGTAGCAGTAGTAGTAGTGATAGTAGTAGTAGTAGTAGTAGTGATAGTAGTAGTAGCAGCAGCAGTAGTAGTAGTGATAGCAGCAGCAGCAGCAGCAGCAGCAGCAGCAGCAGCAGCAGCAGCAG